GGGCAGGTAGGTGTTGATTGCTTCAAGATTCAGATGGAAGTCTAGTTCTCGCTGACCAGCTCCAAGTGTGATACTAGAGAGCTGACCCTCTTCAGGCCTCGTCCCTCGTAACAAACCATATATTTTGAGAGGAGACTTCTCTTCTTACCAGAACATTCCATTGATGTAAGGGCTTTCTATAGAAAGGCTTTCACTTTTGGGTTCCTTGAGTTTAAAGGATGACTTTTTATGAGCCACTCTTTGTTTTTTCCCCTTAATGTAGAAAACATTATAAGTGTACATATAATTCCTAAAACAGTAGAAGTTCATTTTGAAGACCGTGAAAAGATTGAATGTCATGCACTATTCATTGTATCAGTTTATTCCAATATGTTCATGTTCATACCAGGATGAAAAGAAAACCAAACCTCTCTGTAAAAGGTAAGCACATTTTTAAGACAAAAATGCTGTATTTCTTCAGTGCAGACTTATTATAAATACCTTACAGAACCGAGTCTTAACCTGTTTTGATTTTTTTTTTTTCTGTTCCCTCAACGAGTTATGCAGTTGTTGAAGCTTCTAACCAAGGAAGAACTTGAAGGACTGGGAGATTTGGTCTCCTTGTCTCCGGGGCTGTGACTATAAGTTCCCTCCCTCCACCCCCGTGGGTATTGTTAAATGTAGCAAAGGGATTTTTAGCTTTTATAACCCAAATGAAGAAAGTGGATTTTTTTTTTGTTTGCTTGTGGATTTGTGTAATCATTGATGGCTAAGTTTGGCTGATTGTGATACGAAGAACAGCTTCTGTTTTCTGTATTTATTCATGCACCAGAAATAGTGTATATTATTATATAAAGACTGTAAAAGTTTTCATAAGCCTTCATATTTTGAACTCTTTATTTAAACGTTGTTGGAAAATGTGGCATAAACCTTGTGTCATTATTTAATAAACTATAGTAATATATAATAAAAAAAAAAAGAAAAGCAAGGGTGCTGTGCTTAGCTGCTCAGTAATGTCCGACTCTGCGACCCCAGGGACTGTAGCCCACCAGGCTCCTCTGTCCATAGAGATTCTCCAGGTAAGACCAGTTACTGGAGTGGATTGCCATGTCCTCCTCCAGGGGATCTTCCCGACCCAGGAATCAAACTGGGGGTCTCCTGAATTGCAGGCAGATTCTTTACCAGCTGAGCTACCAGGAAAACCCCAAAAGCAAGGGTAGGTACACAGAAAACTATAAAATGTTGCTGAAAGAAATCAGAGAAGACGAATAAATGGAGAGACATACCATGTACGTTAATTGGTAGACTTAATATTGTTAAGATGTCAGTATCACCCAAAGTCATCTACAGATTCAGTGTCACCCCTATCAGAATCCCTGTTTCAGATATAGAAAAGCCATCGTTAAATTGGTATGAACTCTCAAGGGACCCCAAGAAGCCACACTATCTTGAGAAAAAGAAAGGAGCAAAGTCTCACATTTCCTGATCTTATTACAAGGCTACAATCATCAGAACACTGTGGTACTGGCATGAAGACAGACTTACATGTCTTACATGAAGACATCAGCTTACCCAGAATGGCATGAGATTCAAAATATATGAATTACTTATTTCTGGAATTTTCCATTAAATGTTTTTGGACCCCAGTTGACCTCAACTAACTTAGAAATCTTGGAAGGTGAGACTGCTGATATTGGGGGAGGAGCTTCTGTAACTCAGAGTAGATCAATGACTTAAACATGGGAGCTAAAGCTATACAACTCTTAGGAAATGGAGAGAGAAATGGCAACCCACTCCAGGATTCTTGCTGGGAAATTCCATGGACAGAGGAGCCTGGCAGGCTACAGTTGATGAGGTCGCAAGGAGTCAGACAGGACTTAGCAACTAAATAAGATCATGCTAAAAATATTTTCAGGAGTAAAGGATATTTTCTTACCTCCATTGTTGCTTTAAAAGTAGCATTTTAAAAAGATGAACTAATATGCCCGAACTTTGTTAATAAAAGACTAACTAAAAGTTATTATATGTCTAGGGCTTCTCTGGGAAACAAACATTTATTGGCTTCTAATTTAAAATTATTCATTTTATCAAATATGATTTGACTTTGGTTGGCCTTTTATAGTTTACATAAAATAAAGTTGATTTTCCTCAGTTCTGTGATTTTGATATTTCCCACATTGAGCAAATAAAAAAGTTTGAATTTATTTTTTTGAAAAAAAAACTCTTAGGAAAGAACATAGAGGAAAAGCTTCCTCTATGACGTTGGATTTGGTGATTTCTTGGACATGACACCAAAGTGAAAGTGTTAGTCGCTCAGTCGTATCCAGCTCTTTGTGACCCCATGGACTGTCGTCCACCAGGCTCCTCTGTCCATGGGATTATCCCAGGCAAGAATACTGCAGTGGGTTGCCATTTCCTCCTCCAGGGGATCTTCCCAACCCAGGGACCAAACCCAGGTCACGACACCAAAAGCAGAGGCAGCAAAGTGAAAACAGAGAAATTGTGCTACATCAGAATTAGAAACTTCTGTGCAACAAAAAACACAATCAACAAAGTGAAAAGGCTACCCACAGAAGGAGAAAAAACACTCACAAATCATATATCTGATAAAAGGGTCATATCTAGATTATGTAAAGAACTTTCAACTCGACCGGCCAGCAGCCTGGTTTAAAAAATGGTCAAAGGACTTCTTGAATAGACATTTTTTCCAGAGAAAATGCACAGATGGCCAACAAGTTTGTGAAAGAATGCTCAACACCAGTAACCATTAGGGAAATGCAAATCAAATCCTCATTGAGATACCATCTCACACCCATTAGGATGGCTAAAACAGCAATAACTAAAATAAAGCAGAAAATAACAAGTGTCCAGTGAGGATGTGGAGAAATTGGCACCCTCGTGCACTCTTGGTGGGAGTATAAAATGGTGCGGCTGCTATGGAAAATATGGGGGTTCATCAAGAGTATTAAAAATAGAATTACTGTGTAGTCCAGCAATTCAACATCTGGGTGTATACACGAAAGAACTGAAAGCAGGGTTGCAGAGATATTTGTACACCTGTTGTATTAGTTTGCTAGGGCTGCCGTAACAAAGTGGTACAGACTGGGTGGCTTAAATAGCAGAAATTTATTTTCTCGCAATTCTCAAGGCTAAAAGTCCAAGGTCAAGGTGTTGGCAGAGTGAGTGACTTCTGAGACCTCTTACCTTGCCTCATAGATGGCCATTCTCTCTCTGAGTTCATATGGTCTTCTTTCTGGGTCTATCCTAATGGTCTCTTCTTCTGTGGACACAATCATATTGGATTGAGGTCTTATGGAGGGCCCACCCGTATAGCTTCGTATTATCACAGTTTAAAGACTCTACAAGTACAGTCACATTCTGGAGTATTGGGGTGGTGTAACTTCAAACCTATTCATTTTGAGGGGCACACAATTCAATCCATAGTTCCTGTGTTCATAGCAGCATTAGTCATGGTAACCAAAAGGTGGAAGCAACCAGTTCAGTAGCTCAGTCATGTTTGATTCTTTGCCACCTCATCATGGACTGCAGCACGCCAGGCTTCCCTGTCCATCACCAACTCTCGGAACTTGCTCAAACTCATGTCCATCGAGTCGGTGATGCCATCCAACCATCTCATCCTCTGTTGTCCCCTTCTCCTCCTGCCTTCAATCTTTCCTAGCATCAGGGTCTTTTCCAATCCCTTAATAGATGAATAGATAAGCAGAATGTGGTCTGTCCATACACTGGAACATTACTCAGCCGTTAAAAGGAAGGGAATTTTGTCACATGCTACAACATGGATGAAACTGAGGACATGATGCAAAAGGGAATAAGCTAGTCACAAAAAAAGACAAATACTGCACAATTCCACTTCCATGAGGTCCCTAGAGCTGTCACATTTATAGAGACAGAAAGTAGAATGTGGGGGGAGGGGTTGGAGGAGGGGACTGGGGAGTGGTTGTCAAATGCCTATGGAGTTTCGCTTTGCGGAAAGGAAAGGGCCTTGGAAGCTGTTTGCACAGCAATGTGAACGTGCTCAAGTCCACTGAGTTAAAATGACTAAGGAGACTAAGATGGCAAATCTTGTGTTTGTTGTTGTGTAGTCTCTAAGTCATGTCCAACTCTTTGCGACCCTGTGGACTGTAGCCCGCCAGGCGCCTCCATCCATGGTATTTCCCAGGCAAGAATACTGGAGTGGGTTGCCATTTCCTTCTCCAGGGGATCTTCCCAACCCAGGGATCCAACCCCCAGCTCCTGCATTGGCAGGTGGATTCTTTACTACTGAGCCACGAGGGAAGCCCACATCTTGTGTTATGTATTTTACCACAGTTAACAAGGAAAAAAAAAAGAAGGTTCAGGATGCGGTCAGTTTCTCCTGGGAGAGGGCTGCCCAGGTGGGGTTTCTGCCTCGAGTGGAGGTGTCCACCAGGCAGAAGACAGGAGGAAGGAGGAGACGGTGAGGGTCTCATCGTTTCAGACACGATGAGTCTGTGGCAACTACCCGCCCCCCCCAACCCCCAAAGGACATCTCTCGGGCCACGATGTCATCAGGTTTTTCTGAGCGCTTTGCCCCAGCAGCCAGCCCCCAACACACAGCCCTGTCCTCTCCCCAGGAGGACACACATCCTCGGGCCACGTTCGTGCCAGGAGATGGCGTCTGGCCCATCGGCCACTCCCCAAAGCGGCCACTGGGCTCTCCCTTCCCTCCCCAGCCTTCCTCCTTCGCTCTCTCCCTCCTGCCCTGCGGTCCGGGTGTCTTCTTCCTGCTCCTTCCCTGGGGGTCGAGAGGGAAGGTGGAGAGCGGGCTGGATCCCTGAGGGGGGCCCAGGGCGGGCGTCTCCAGTGCCTCCTTCCACCTTCGTGGCCGTCTGCCGTCTGCCTCCCTCCCTGGTGGCTGACATTCGAGGAGGACTCAGCGAGGGGCTGGGGATACACCCGGAGCCCCACGTGCGGCCCCAGACATGGCCAGGTGGGCCCCCAAGGGTCCAGGTCACTGACCACGTGCCCACTTTCCATCCTAGGACCTGAGTTCCTTTGCCATGCCGCTCCTGGATGGAGACCTGGAGAGTTCAGAAAAGCCTCCGTCTCGTAAGGTAAGGCTCCCTTCCTCCCAGCTTCTCCCAGCTCACCGGAGGTGCCGCGGAGGCCGGACTCGCTCAGCTCGACAGACTTCTCCCTGCGCCCCTGGCTGCAGCTGAGCCCACCCTCTCCCTCCAGGCTTCACCCCTTTCTCTGCCCTTCCCTCGGGGCTCCTCCCTGGTCCCTGGATGCCCCAAAGCGGGCGGAGGTGATGCTGAAAGTTAACGTTGAGCTCAGTGCCCCGAGTGCCTGAGATGCTCACGGGCAAAGAGAAGAGATGGAAAATAACGGAAAAGCGGATCATGGAGCCCAGATGTCTCTCCTCTTTGCAGACAGGAGTCCCTCCTCCCACCTCTGCCGCCACCTTCCCTTCCCCCACCCCCGCCCCCGGCCCTCAAGTCCTTCTCTGCCTTTCTTCCTCTTTCCATCTTTTCATTTCCTCTCGTTCACCTGCCTTCTCCCCTCTCCCCTCTCCCACGGGTCCATTTTTCCTGCTCAAGGTCGGAGGAGGGCCTGGGATGGGTGGGGTGGCCGTGGCAGGAACGGGGAGGTCGAGGCAGCCTGCGGTGGGGGTGAGTGCGGGGCAGAGGGCTGGCGGGAGGCCCAGCTGTCGTGCCTTTGGGGGAAGTGCTGCAGGCGGCGTCTTGAGAGCAGAGGGTGGTAGGCAGACTTTCCCCCAGTCCTCAGACCACCTCACAGCGGGGCTGGGTCCAGTCTGGGCTGCCTGGCGCTCACTCCAGTGTCTGCAATGCTGCGTCCAGACCCCGTGCAGTGGGACCGGCGGGCAGGCCATGCAGGGGAGTGTCCCAGCAGGACAGGTCCTGCACCTGCCAGCTCATCTCTGCATCTTTGTGCCCTGTGACTGAGATCCCCGTCTCCTCAGGGAGTTGAGCACCTTCCGTGGCTGCCAAGCTGAATGTGGACGGGACCCAGGGTGGCCTCTTCCTCCATGATCTAGGGGCTGTGGGTAAGCTCCCCTTTCTGGGAGCTCTTGGCTCAAGGATGCCAGTCCCCAGGCTCCCAAGCATCAGTTGAGATGGGAGTCTGTCCGCTCTCCCCATCAGTCCCCATGCCTGGTTCCCCTGCCCCCAGAGGGGGCAGCTCTTTGTCACAAGAGACATCTCAGGATACACAGGCTTCTGTTCCCCTCGACTCTGCACAGCTCTCTGTGCAGCTCCCAGGCCAGTATTGAGAGGAAGGTCAGTGCCTTTGACGTCCCCGGATCATTCAAGAGCACTGTGGTCACTCCGGGTCAGCCAGGGAGGCCGGGGCCTGGGGAGCCTGTGGAATGCCCGGCAGTCCGCCACCCCCCACTCCCCCAACAGGTGACCATGAACTTTTCCTGTCTGTGCCCCTTGATCCTGGGATGAGGAGCGTGGCCCCCCTGTTAATCTTTCCTGGCAGCTTCCCTGAGGTGTGACCTGGGACAGGACCTTCTCTGTGAACCTGTCTCCCTATCAGCAAACCCAGGTTCGTGACAGTGCTCACCTCCCTTGTGAGGATGAAACGAGCTCGTCCGTAGAGCAGACACACATGGGTGCCCGGCCCAGGGCAGGTGCTCAAGGGCGGTCTGGGAATGCGGCTGTGATTCCAGACATCCCCGCTCTGGAGCGCTGTGGAGCGCACCCACGTCCTGTTTATCTGAGCCGTGGGGAGCATTGCACTCAGCCTGGCCCTAGGCTCCTGTCCATCACTGGCTGTGTGCCACCCCTCTGGCACCTCTGCTGAGAACACTGGCCCCCTTTCTGTCTGGAGCACACGGGGGCTCCAGCTGGGACACCCCACCAGCAGCTTGCTGGACGCGGCCTCTGCCTGCCAGGCCCAGCCTCCCCACCTCCCTGGCCTGAGTTGGGCACCAGGGGAGGGTGTCCCCGGCCTATAGACCCTCCCGTCGATGTTTTGTTTCACTCAGCCCCCCTTTCTCTGGCACCCCTTGCCTGTGACCTCCTTCATCCATGCCCGTTTCCCACAAGCTCCGAAGAGGCCCCCAACAGTCAGCTGTCAGTCACCACCAGGCCAGCCCTGCCCACCCTTCACCTTCACCCCTGCACCTCTCTTCTCCCCTCCTCTGCGTCCTTGGGACACAGCTGAGACCTGAGAGTCGGGGGACTGGGCCCTGCCCCACGGCCCCTCCTGCCGCCGTGGACAGAGATGGGCCTGGCAGCCCTACCCACGGCGCCCTGAATTCCCATCTGTAGCTCTGAGGAGCCAGCAGGCATTCAGGAGGCGCTGGGTCCTTTGTTCATCCAAACCCAGGGAAACATGCCATTGCGTTAGCTGCATCTTAGTACCATCCTAGTAAGAAAGTACCATCTTGGCTGCATCCTGCTTGAAGGCACAGGCTCTGCCCCTAGGGTTCTTACCCTCACCCGCCCTGCAGGACGCAGACCCAGAGGCCAGGTCTGCACCTGCCTTCTCATGGCCACGGCTCAAGACCAGTCCTTACACTCCCCGTGGACAAGGCTGAGCTGGGGCACCATTTTTCATCATGTTGGGGGGAAGGTCTGCTTTCTGGGGCCCCCTCCTCAAGCTGACGGCTGAGGCCTGGTTCTGGCGGCCTAGAATTCTGAGCATAGGATGGAATCCCATTGTGGAGAATCCTGGGGCTCCACTTGCCCTTCAGATAGGGTTCAGGCTGGCACCCGGGCCCTGTGAGACTGACCGTCCGGTGGCAATTGGCCTAGCTTTCCCCCGTGAGCTGTCTGTGGTGGCCCAAGTGAGTGATTGTTTGTCCTCACAGCTCCACCTCCTCTTTCCCCAGCCCGGGGATGTCTCTGGCCCTCAGCCTGTCCACAGCCCATCAGCTCTCAACACCTTCTCTGGTTTGGGGCCCCGTGACCCACAGTGTCCCCTTTTGCAGACTCTTCCCTTTCTGGTTCACTCCCAGGCAAGCCTCATCTTCCCTGCTGTTCTCCGTGGCCTCACAGGGACCCTAACCTTCCCCACATCTTGTTCTCTGCGTGGAACGAACATCAGCCTTGCTCAGCTGTTCCTTGTCCCCAGGCCGAGCTCACCGTGCAGTGTGGAGGGGACATCTGCGGGGTTAATGTGACCCTGCCTCTGTCCTCACACTTGACCACGACTCCTCTTCTGTTTCACGTTGCCAGGCTGCTCCCGCTCCTGGCCATTTCTGCTGCTCCCGGGAGGTATGTGGGGCAAGGGGCAAGGCCGTGGGCCTGAGGCCCCACCCACCACTGACCAGCGTTGTGGCCTTCACTCTGTCCCCAGTTGGTGCCTTCTCAGAGCTCTGGGTTCAGGGGTACCCAGGGGGTGATGGTGACCAGCCTCCAGCATGTCGGCCCTAAATGACTGTGCTGCAGACCCTCTGTGATGCCCCCTCTAAGGAGGCTCAGGCTCTCATACCCCGCGTGGAGTGAATGAGTGAAAGTCGCTCAGCCGTGTGCAGCTCTTTGCGACCCCCTGGACTGTATAGTCCATGGAATTCTCCAGACCAGAATACTGGAGTGGGTAGCCTATCCCTTCTCCAGCAGATCTTCCCAACCCAGGGATCGAACACAGGTCTCTCGCGCTGCAGTGGGTTCTTTACCAACAGAGCTATCAGGGAAGCCCCACCCCACGTGGAGCCTCTCCCTAAACCAGCCCTGCCTCCCTGACTGTCCACACCTAACCGAGGGTCTATTTGGGCCAAATTCATGACAATGAGAGCTGCGTAAACAGTCCGAGGCACGTGCTGTGTGCCAGGACCTGAGGCGGGTGCTCCCCGTGTCGTGTATCCGGCCGTCTTCCTGGCCCTGCAGGCCGGCCTGCCGTCCCCAGTGGACACACGAGGACGCTGACAGTAGACCTCTTGTCACTGCTGGAACCCGAGCCGGTGTTCAGCTCCTGTGTCTGTGTCCAGATTCCTTGCTTGTACCATCCTGCTGTGGGGTCACCCTCCATCCCTGGGCCCGCGTTTGTGACCACCTCCACCCCGTGTCCCAGACACACGCCACCCACCGCTCAGAAAGCTGCTCCATGTGAATTATTCGTGGGATTCAGAAGATCTTCGGGATGCCTGAGCCCGTAGGTCGGTGGGTAGTGGCTGAACCCAACACTCTGGAGACATTTGTGCTTTCTGTGTCACATGGTTGGAAAAAGAAACCCTTGAACTTCTCCGTAACCAGCAGAGCTTGAGTTGCATGGCTCTGGTGAAGCTCGGCCTCTGCCTCTGAAGCCCACTGGGCAAGAGGATTCTGCACTGCCCCCCATGGCCACACCGGTCCTTCATTGCAGGGCAGAGGGTCTCGGGAAGAAGAGGGCGTGTGGTTGAGAGTCCCCATAAGGGCATCCCTTCCTTTAAGGGACCATAAGCCCAGCTGAAGCTCCAATTCTCTGGCCACCTTATGGGAAGAGCCAACTCATTGGAAAAGACCCTGATGCTGGGAAAGATTGAGAGCAGGTGGAGAAGGGGGCAACAGAGGATGAGATGGTTGAATGACATCACCGACGCGATGGACTTGAGTTTGAGCAAGCTCCAGGAGATGGTGAAGGGAAGGCTGGCATGCTGCAGTTCATGGGGTCGCAGAGAAGTAGACACGGCTTGGCAACTGAACATCAAGCCCAGACAGCATATTAAAAAGCAGAGACATTACTTTGCCAACAAAGGTCCGTCTAGTCAAAGCTATTTTGAACCACTGGTTTTTCCTGTAGTCATGTATGGATGTGAGAGTTGGACCATAAAGAAAGCTGAGCACTGAAGAATTGATGCTTTTGAACTGTGGTGTTGGAGAAGACTCTTCAGAGTCCCTCGGACAGCAAGGAGATCCAGCCAGTCCATCCTAAAGGAAGTCAGTCCTGAATATTCTTTGGAAGGACTGATGCTGAAGCTGAAGTTCCAATACTTTGGCCACCTGATGCAAAGAGCTGACTCATTGGAAAAGACCCTGATGCTGGGAAAGATTGAAGGCAGGAGAAGGGGATGACAGGGGATGAGATGGTTGGATGGTGTCACTGACTCAATGGACATGAGTTTGAGTAAGCTCCGGGAGTTGGTGATGGACAGGGAGGCCTGGCGTGCTGCAGTCCATGGGGTCGTAGAGAAGCAGGCTCGGTTGAGCGACTGAAAATCAAGCCCAGCTCAGGGCGCCCTCTAGTGGTGAAAGCGCTCACAGGGTCCCGGGCCTGGACAGGGGTCCCAGGAGGACAGAGACACAGAGGCCGCCCTCTTATCTCCCTTCTCAGCATACCTGGGGTCCACCTGCCTTGCAGAGCCCGGGGTCTCAGCCTGCTAGCCAACTCCCGCCAGGCTTCGTCCTTGCCCCAGCACCCAGCGGACAAGTGGTTTTCCTTTCCTGCGGCAGAGCTGGGTGGCCCGAGGCCCTCTGGCTCCTGTTGCAGGCTTACCCAGGGGACAGCAGCAGGTCATGTGCAAAGGTGATTCCCGTGGGTCGGGTCTGGCTGGTGCCCCTTCAGACGGCCCTGAGGGGCAGGGCAGGCCCCCTCATTCCACCCGGGAGGAGACCCAGGCTTAGCGAGTCTCAGGAACTCCTCCTGGTAGCCCAGCAAGGGTTGAGCGGGTCAGACACAGGCGCTCAGATGGGAATGAAGTGAAGTGAAGTTGCTGAGTTGTGTCTGACTCTTTGCAACCCCGTGGACTGAATAGGCCAGAATACTGGAGTGGGTAGCCTTTCCCTTCTCCAGGGGATCTTCCCAACCCAGATCTCCCACAGTGCAGGTAAAATTCTTTACCAGCTGAGCTATGAGGGAAACCATAGAATACTGGAGTGGGTAGCCTATCCCTTGTCCAGGGGATCTTCCTGACCCAGGAATCAAACTGGGGTGTCCTGCATTGCAGGAGGATTCTTTACCAGCTGAGCTGTGAGGGAAGCCATTCAGATGTGAATACCAGTTCCTAAGCCCACCAGCAGGGCACGTTAGAAATCCCTCCAGTCCACGAGTTGCGTGTGTTGGCTTGAAGACAGAGTCTAGCACTTTTTCAAACCATAACTGGTGGTGATTTCAAGTCATGGTCCAAGTGAGCCTCAGAGGTTTTCAGCCTCATTAACTTTTTCCCCTAACCTCTGCGGTCACTCCAACGTGGAAGCTGCTTAGAGATGAAAACTTCGTCCCTTCCCACACCAGGACAGAGCCCCGGACCGCCTGACTCTCAGGTCATGGGGGTCTGTGCTCTTTCCTTTGAGGAGGGGCCGGAGAACATTATTGCACGGCAGTCAGACCTCAAGGACAGACGCGTGTTCTTGAGAAGTGAAGGGCAGGAGACGGGGCTGCAGATAGGACAGGGGGGAAGAGGCCGTGTTTCGAGGCTTCGCGGTTGCCCTGGCTGTCCTCCCTGCTTCCAGGAAGCCCCCTTGCAGAGAGCTGGCTGGAGGGAGGCCGGGGGGCTCCCGGGGCGGTGCGGCCCAGCCTGTGGATGGGTCGTCCCCGGGTCCCGTCCTGCCCGCCCCCCGCCCAGGCAGCCCCTCGTCTGTGCGAGAGCCTGGTGGGGCTGTTTCTCAGTCTGGGTGCCCTGGACCCTCCAGCTGGGTGGCAGGGGACAGCAGAGGGGGCAGGTCCGCACAGGCCGCCGTCTAGGCTCCGAGGGACCTCACCTGTCTGTCTGTCTGTCTGTCTGTCTGCAGGTGGACAGCCCCTTCGGCTCGGGCAGCCCCTCCAAAGGCTTCTTCACCAGAGGCCCCCAGCCCCGGCCCTCCAGCCCCGTGTCTGCCCCCGTGCGCCCCAAGACCAGCCCTGGCTCCCCCAAAACCGTGTTCCCGTTCTCCTACCAGGAGTCCCCGCCGCGTTCCCCACGTCGCATGAGCTTCAGCGGGATCTTCCGCTCCTCGTCCAAAGACTCCTCCCCCAGCTCCAACCCGTCCACCTCGCCGGGGGGCATCCGGTTCTTCTCTCGCTCCAGAAAAAGTAAGGCATTGATGCTTTGGTTCCAGGTGGGTGCAGGGCTGCCGGGGGAGCCGCTCTGGGCCACGGGGGACGCCGCCACTGGGGTGGCTGTAGCGATGGTGCTGAGCGCACATCTGGGTCCGTCCCCCAAGAACAAATTGAGCTCCGGAACAACGGGGTTCCCTGGGGTCCCTTTCTTCCTGCGCTGACCCCCACCCATTGGGCGTGGTTTGCGGGGGTTAATGCAGACATCGCCATCCTGTTGGGCTTAAGACAGCCACATGGAATGGTGAAAGTCAGGAGTGGTGTGAAGCTAAGATTCAGCCTCGTACCCTGCTGTGGTCTGCCCTGGGGTGGACCACAAGTCACAGGGATTTGGGTCTTTGGGACTCAAATTTGGTACCACATTTGAGGGATTTGAGGCTTACTTCTTTCTGGCACATCCTGACTTTGTTTTGGGCCCTGGGTAGCTGGGGTTCATCTGTTAGAGAAACAGGGGCAGGAAGTGTGTGTTCAAGAGAGTTCTTTAGGCTCATGAGATTTTGTGATCTAAGAATAAACTATTCTCCACTGAGCACCGTTGATTGTAATTGGAAATATGGCAAACCATAAAGTTGTTGTTATTGTTTAGTTGCCAAGTTGCGTCAGACTCTTTGTGATCCCCGTGGACTGTAGCCTACCAGGCTCCTCTGTCCATGGGATTCTCCAGGCAGGAATACTGGAGTGGGCTGCCATTTCCTTCTCCAGGGGATCTTCCCCACCCANCGTGGACTGTAGCCTACCAGGCTCCTCTGTCCATGGGATTCTCCAGGCAGGAATACTGGAGTGGGCTGCCATTTCCTTCTCCAGGGGATCTTCCCCACCCAGAGACTGAAGCCATGTCTCCTGCATTGGCAGGCAGGTTCTTTACCCAAACCATAAAGCAGGTGGTTCATTTTTGCCTCTCCTGTGTCTCAGGGCATCTCCCTACTTGTTCCGACTCTCTCTGATGACAGAGGAAATGCTTGTTCAGGAAGACGGTGATTTGGGACACATGCCTGCCCTTGGGCGTCGGGTCTGGAGTGGTCCTCCTGTGTCTCTGGCTGCATTTGCAAGAGGACCTGCAGTCCTCGGAGTACAGTCGGAGCTGTACTCTCTCCACAAGGCCAGCACCAATGCGGTTTTCAGTCTCTTTGACTCACAAGGAAAGGTGGGGGCCTCTTCTTTGGTGGTTTGGGGTGTTGCTCCTAGCACCCCTGAAGTCATCCCCATGATGACTGAGCTCACGCGTAACTGTACAGATGGCCTGTGACGCGGTGGTCCTCATGCAGACGATGCGGGCCATGTGTGGTGGGAACCTACATGTGAAGCCAGAGAGACAGGTGTGTTCTAGCCCTGATGTCCCAGTGCCCCAGAGCACATCCCCAGTTTCCTCGACAGGGATCCTGAAACTCTCAACTACTCTCAGAGGAGGGTGGTCAGACCAGACCTTCACCAGGTGTCCTATTTCTCGAATCGGGCCTGGGTTGGTTACAACAGAACGAGGTTGTATTAATTTCGTGGGGGCAGCGATGACAATGTACCCCAAACCAGGTGGCTTAAACAACAGCAATTTATTCTCTCACTGCTCCAGAGGACAGACGCCAGAACCAAGCTCTTAGCAGGGCCATGGTCCCTCTGAAGGGGCTGGGAAAGAGTCTGCTCCAGGCCCTTCTCTCAGCTCCTGGTGCTGCCAGCAGCCCTTGGTGTTCCTTGGCCCGCGGAGGCGACACTCGGCGTCTGCCCCCATCGCCCTGGGCATGTGGCCCGCTCCCGCTGGGTGTCTGTCCATGTCCGCGGGCTGCTTCCCTCCTGAGGACCACAGTGCTTTGTATGAAGGGCAGTGTGCTTGGCTAGAAAACGTGCATGCCTGGGAGCTAATTTGCTTCAGTCGTGTCCGATTCTTTGCAACCCCATAGACTGTAGCCTGCCATGTTCCTTTGTTCATGGGATTCTCCCAACAAGAATACCGGAGTGGGTTGCCATTTCCTTCTCCAGGGGATCTTCCCAGCCCAGGGATCAAACCCAAGTCTCTTATGTCTCCTGCATTGGCAGGTGGCTTCTTTACCAGTAGCGCCACGTGGGTAGCCCAGTAGAAAACACTCGGCTGCAGAGGCGTCTTATTAGCTACTGCGCACCACGTGCGGCTTGTTAAGGCTTCTCTGCGTCTGGCTGCTGTCTGCGGCCGGGGCTCAGGAAGGTGTAGAGTGACCTGTGTGAAAGTGAAAGTTGCTCAGTCGTGTCCGACTCTTTGCAACCCCAGTGGACTGTACAGTCCAGGCCAGAATACTGGAGTGGGTAGCCTTTGCCTTCTCCAGGGGGATCTTCCCAACCCAGGGGTCGAACTCAGGAGTGGCCGGGGCTGCTGGTAAAAAGACTCTCGTTGATTAGGTCGGGTGCAGGCTCAGCTTCCTTAGAGACACGCTCTGGGGGGCGGGTGTTCGGACCAGGGACAGTAGCCCTTGCTGTTGCCTTTGAAGCACAGAGCCCACGTCCTTGACCTTCCCCAAATGGAAACCAGCCCTGTCCAGCCTGCTGATGAAGCCCGAAGGTCGCGGTCCGTATGCAGGCAGAGCATGTCCTGCTTCATTGGGTCCTCCCCGTGGGCCCTGGTTCCCTGGTTTCCCCATCACACTTGGTGTGAGGCTTGCGTGGAGGGCATACAATCTGTCTACTCTTCCTCCTGCTCGAATCTATGCCCACGTCAAGGTGCCTGGACTGTCCATTGCTCCCACTGCCCCAGAGCTGATTTCGTAACCCTGAGCTTGAGAGTAATGCCCTCGGCCTGTGTGAAGGGTCTTGTAAGTGGCAGCCCGTGGAACGTGCTGTGAGAAGGTGGAAAGATGTCGCGGAGACGCTTTGTCACACGAGGCCCCTGGGAGAAATTTCCCGTCTCGGTACCAAGAACAGCTGTCCTTCTGAGCAACTGGATGGCTTTTGTGTGTCATAGACCGTGATGGTGTAACAACCCCATTTCCCATCTGCATTGTCTACTGGGAATCTTAGAACCAAGTCTGTACCCAGGGCGTTAAGAGAAGTGTTTCTAACCTGGTTTCTGAATCCATTTTTGGCCTCCCCGCATCCTTTTACTGCACCCCCCCCCACTTAAAAAAAAAAAGAAACAAGACAGTTTACTGGAAGAATTTGAGTGTATTTATTCAGAATTCAAAGAGGAGCTGAATGCCCGCGACTTAGGAAGGGTAGGAACCAGGCTGGTTCTGGGAGGTTCGGTGGCCAGAATTCATGGAGATGCAGAGAATTCCTAGTCTTTGCATCTCTCCACTGACCGCTCCAAATGCCTCATCCTAGGATAGCTGATCAGCCCAGTTGGGATCTTTGAACCAATAGGGTACTGTTGAGGGGGGAGCTGGGAGGCAGGGTCAAGCAGCTAAAGCAGAGTGACCAGCAGCCCGCCCTGGAGGTGGGCGGAAAGTTCCAGGAGGAGAGGCCCAGTTGGCAGCCAGGACGCACCCACACTGCTGTCTGCATCCACTGCCCGGCCTGTGTGCTCACGCAGCCTCCCACGTCCACAAAGATGCCCTCCCTCATCGAGTCACCCCACACACGGCGGTCAGCAGCCCCCTGCTTCCCTGATCGTGTCTGAGTGTCACCGCTAAGGATGTGGGTGTGATGGACCAAGCTCTCCACCTCAACGTGGTGAGACGCCCGTTTCTCCTCCAGAGCTGTCCACGCCCTATCCTGTCCTGTGACTTACGGGAGAAAGATAAGATTCTCCACATTAAGAACTGCAGCAGAATTCCTTTGCTGTCTTTCTCTATCGTCTGTTGACCAAAACCTAAAAGTCTGTGTGATGACACAGGATCTAAAGGTGCAGCAGACTCCCCAAGTGACCCTCAAGCATGGTAAACATCATTGTTATTCAGAAAAGGGGGGAAGATAGAAATCCTGCAGAGCCATTTTCAAAGGGAAAGAAAGGAAAAGGATTCAGTGACACATTAAGAGCGAGAGAAGATGGCAGGGGCTTCTCTGGGGGTCCAGTGGCTGAGACTCTGTGGGCTCCATGCTGGGGACCCAGCTTCAATCCCCTGGTCAGGGAGCTAGATCCCACGTGCGGCAACTAAGACCCAGTGCAGTCACATAAGTAAATAAAAAATACATATATATTTCTAAAGAGAGAGAGCGAGGAAATGCAGACAGTGGCTATAGTTCTGAGTGCTCCGTCTGCTGTCAGGACCAGCGAGGACCTCGGTTGGCTGGCATGCTCTCCCCAGGAGGAGAGCCAGCCCTTTGCTCCGCCAGGACCCTACCCCTTGGAGGGGTTCTTGAATGCTGTGGCTGTAGCCTTCCCCTGGGCTCCTGGCCCAGTGGCGTGTTGATCTCAGACTCGTCCTGGGGACGCTGGGGTTTTCATCACGCTCAGCCCAGCCCCACGGTTAACTGGCAGCAAGCCTAACTCCCTTGGAGGATCAGGGTCAGCCACCCCCAGCAAAGCAATAACCCACTATCCGCCTCTTCCTCTAGGAACAGACGACAGCTGGGACAAAATCCAGCCTGAAACCTTTCTTCGTTTTTGCACACTAATCACTGAGATACAGGCACGCCCTCATTTCTCTCCTGTGTGGCTCTTTGCATGTGCAGCAGCAGACTCGAGCTGCTGTCTCTGAACCATGTGCCCATAGGGCAGAGCACGTTTACATCTCGTCTTCAAGTGAAAGTCGCTCAGCTGTGTCTGACTCTGTGACCCCATGGGCTGTACAGTCCATGGAATTCTCCAGGCCAGTATACTGGAGTGGGTTGCCTTTTCCCTTCCCCAGGGGATCTTCCCAACCCAGGGATCGAACCCAGGTCTCCCGCATTGTAGGTGGATTTGTTACCAGCTGAGCCACAAGCGAAGCCCCACATCTCGTCTAGTTCCCAAGAAGTCTTACGTGGCCATGAGGCAGTAGAACCTTCCAGAAAATACCAAAGCTTATCTCCAAAAGGAAAACAAAGATTTCTTACAACTTGGCTGAGGATGGCCTTGCTTTTGAAGGTGAAGAAAGGGAAATGCATGTCCATCTGTTCATGAACTGCAAATAATAAGGTGAAAGTCTTAAAAAAAAAGAAAAGCAGTCTGCCATAGTCAGCAAGGCAGGACCTCAAGAAGGACTGAATCTCACGTTACTCAGCTTCACTCCCTAATCAATGCTAGTAATTGTCCTTGTCTACTGTGCTGTTCTCATCGAACGTG